GAAGAACAGGCATGGATAGATGGGAGGCAAACGGGAGCAGAGGGAGATCAACAAACAGACATTGAGAAAAAAGGCAGAGGAAAGTTTTCATTCTCGTTTGGCAACAAAATTCATCGGTTGAGACTTTAACTTTCGTTTACCCAGATCAGAAGCACAGCAACACAGAGAAGTCACTGAACAAAATTGTTTTTCTCTCTGCAAGACAAGGTGGTGGTTAGTGTGCAGAGAAACTCATAGAATTAAGTCCATAGGCAAGAACTAGAAATCCTAACATCCTAGCATAAAAAACAATGGACATTGAGCCCATGTAGAAACAAGACAGCAAAACTCCAGGCACTTCCGAGCATTCACTGCAGAGGCGAAGTCGTCCCTTAGTTTGCACACCCCACAGCATAGTATTAAAAACGGTAACCAAGGGAAAAAAGAAAGATACCATTCTCCTTCGAGCTGTAATATTACATGGATGCAATTACCACAGGCAGCTGTTTCGGAGTACATGGAGTAGGACCAGGAATCTGTGGCGCTTTGAGTTGTGGACTGGAACGCTTGGATACAAGACATGCTATTTAATTTTACCCTTACCCAGGAATCTAGAACGGAAATAGGAGCGGCTCCTCTACTATCAGACTGCTGTGTGATCACTGTGATGTCGAGGTGTTGCATTGTCCTCTCTCTCTCTCTCTCTCTCTCTCTCTCTCTCACACACACACACACACACACACACACACACACACACACACACACACACTAACAAATACATACGAATGAGCATCATTAAGAGTATAGACGATATGAAGATCAGAAATGAAATGAACGGAAATATGAAGGACGGACACAAAGGCTGTATAAGCTGAAGATCTGAAATGAAATGGACAGGAGTATGAAGCTCTGAAGAGATGCACAGGAGCATACCTTCCCTTTTACTCTGCCTCCTGAAATCACGTGCAAGTGGGCCGTGGAGGCACACGGGGATGTGGGCAGCTGCCGCTCAACCACAATCAACGTGGGCAGCCTTGCGTGTAAGAGGCACAGTAAAAGGGGAGCTGCAAGAACAATGAAAGGGGTACCCCAAGAACAACCAAAAAACTGTCTAATTATAAAATTGCTTTAATATGTTGGACATCTCAAATGCTCTCGTTGTCTGCAATAGGATAAAGACTGCTTTGATTCTGAATCTATTCACCTGGGTGGAATTGGTGGGGGAAAATCTAAAACACACACACACACACACACACACACACACACACACACACACACACACACACACACACAGGGAGGAGAGGAAAGGTACCATACCAATAACTACAGCAGGGGGAATGTATGATGGATAAGCAATATCAAACATACATGGGCTTTCCTCTGCCCAAAGGCACTGCTCCTTCAGCTTTAACTGTTCGCATAAAACAGACAACATGCACAAGGGATTAAAACCAGGGTTTGTTAGTTCTGTAGCAAGCACGTGAGAGCATAATTCGCTATTTGCTACATCATGGTTTTCCAGGTTCTGCTGCAAACGACTCAGGTAGGATCATAAATTTCTCTACACAAGTTAAGCAACTGTGGACTACGAGTTCCGTGACATAGCAGAGGACCTTCAGTGAACCTGCTGCTGCACTTCAGAACCAACATTCCTGCCCGCAGGGTAGGATAAAAATTCATTCCAGATGGCACGTTGTTGAACACACAAACTTCAAAATAAACCCTGAGGGGATAACCATTCATCAAGGCACTTCACTCCATTCCCCAATCAGAATGGTTCAGTTCCACAACTTCCAAAACTGAAGGGAAGTTGGGTTTCCAAAACAACAATTCAAGATCAATCAAGGACGACAGTACAACAGAGCTCCAGCACCTATACACAGGCCGCCAATGTACATGCCAAACGTTTCAAATGGCAGTGCCGGAAAGAGAAAGAGGTGCAACTGCGGCGCAAAAGGAGCTAGATAGAGATGGAAAGAGTCAGAGGACAACGGAAAGAGAGAAGGAGCTTCGCCGCACCACCACTTGCCAAACACAAACATTTTGAATAAATCTGGTCCTGTTATGGTCCCTTTAGATTCAAAATGTTAGCGTTTGACGAGTGGTGCGGCGAGCCACAAAGGGAGGCGGACGAATGAGAGACAGAAAAAGAGAAAGGGAAGACAGACGACTGGCAGGCAGGCAGGGCGAGGGTGAAGAAAGACAGACGGACAGAGAGAAGACAGAGCACGAGCCAGACAGAAAGAGAGGAACAGAGAGATGGGATAGAAACAGAAAGAAAGAGGAACAGAGATGGGAGAGATGGGAGAGGAACAGAGATGGGAGAGAAACAGAAAGAGAGAGGAACAGAGAGATGGAGAGAAACAGAAAGAGAGAGGAACAGAGAGATGGGAGAGAATCAAGAAAGAAAAAAGAGCTCCAAGACCGAGACGTACGACGCTAAGGAGAAAGTGAGACTAGCAAGAAGGAGATGAACGACTAGACAAACAGACGGACAAACAGCCGGAGAAACAGACGGACAAACAGACGGACGAACAAAGAAACAAAGACTACAGGGGAAGGCAGAAAGAGAAAGAGGGCATACTCACACTGGGGCTTTTTCTACAAAGCTCTGAAACGTGATTGCAGTCAGATTCATACAGGTCTCGCCGGAATCACACTCAGATGCATTTCAAAAGTGCTAATGTGAGGATGCCCACAAAGGCGAACAAAAGACACGAAGAGAGAAAAGATAAGCGAGAATGGAATAGACAGATCCACGGGGAGAAAGGCACGGACAGACAGACAACACAGACGGACTCCAGCATGCAACACACGGAGAAAGAGACAGATAAAGACAGGTTGAGGCAGAGGCAGAGACTCACCAGCTTCTGGTTAGACTTGAGCAAAAATATTTCTACATCTGCAGCCACAGAAAAGTCAACAATACCACATATAACTTGTTAGCAACCACGCTAATGCCACATGAACTGAGCGCATGTAAACGATGGAAAATTCCAGATAAAACAACAGGAGGAGAGACTTCAACCCCGGTTCCTTCAGAATTCACGTAAATACGAACACACTACCAAAAAGATATTCTCCCTCTCTCTCTCTCTCTCTCTCACACACACACACACACACACACACACACACACGCGCGCGCGCGCGCGCGCGCACACACACACACACAAACGCCCGCCCGCACACACACACAAACGCGCGCACACACACCCCAGCCAAAGCAAAGGGACACAGAGACAGGAAAAGGGTATTCGAGAGAACTCCGGCCGTGTTTTCTGATTACCCTTTGTGGAGCGAACCCCAAGCGCACATTCTAGAAAAGGAGGATTTGCTGGTGCACTGGCGCCCTTTCTATGAGGGGCACGCTATCTCCTCTAACCGAAACCAAGGCAATCTACCTTGGTGGCAACCATCGTCTGCTTCTTTTACAGGTCAATATCGTGTGTAGCCGTACGGTGCTGGTTTGAGCAGGGTTGGGGCCTCGCTCCTGTCTTTGTCAGTGGGCCGAATATGTCCAATATCTTGTAAAATCGAGGAGCGCAACACAAAGTTAAATGAGGAGCTATGGTCCTCACACTGGTCAGAGTTACGGTCTTCCTCAGGACAGGAAAAATGTAAGCACAGACCAGAACCGATGACGTATCCCGGACCGAGTCCCGGAGAGCGAAACGAGAGGGCGTATGTCTGGACGACACGTCTTTTGATAACGACAGGCCGCATGTCTTGGGGCCTCGCCACACCACTGTCAAGACGAAAAGAGAACGAATGCATCTTGCCGCAGAAAGCGGTAAGATGCATCCGTTGCTATTCACAGCAACGGATGTATCTGGCCCTTCTCTGCGGTAATACGCATTCTCTCTTTTTTCGTTTCGACAGTGATGAGGCCCTTGGACGAAAGAAGACACCAAGGAATGGAGGCGCGAGTGATGGATTCGCAGAGGCCCGAGGCGCTCGACCGGCGATGTGATAACACGGCCGACCCGCCGTATCCACTAAAAACAGCATCTATGCATACACGCTCGAGCGATTTACTTTCGAAATTGTGGCGGTGGACAGGAGCTTGATGGAACCATGCCAAGCGGCCAGAGCTCGATAACCGCTGTTGTAACTGCAGAGAAGAGGTGTGCACGCGAAGAATTACCCATGAGAGAGAGAGAGAGAGAGAGAGAGAGAGAGAGAGAGAGAATGTGTTCGTTACATTAATGTTGTTGCTATTGAATCAAGAGAACATGAGGCGATTAAACATTACCCATCTTGCCTTGAAGAGCAAGAGAGAGGTGTGCAAGCAAGGAAAACACAATTCACTGTTGATCCTGAGACATTACTTCAGTTCGGATTGATCTCGGCAACTCGAGAACATGAAATTGGAATCGCTACCCTTCTTCATCCGAATACAGCGTACGGTCATCATTGCTGTATTTAAACTGAAAGATACCCCAAAGAGTTATAATGACCGTACGTTGTATTCGGCTGAAGAAGGCTAGTAATCGCGGATCAGCGTGCCGCGGTGAATATGAGCTGAGGCCTTGTACACAGCGCCCGGAACGCAGAGTAGGGAGAACTACACTACTCGCTCCATGCACAAAAGAGAAAAAATATGGCGTCGTACCTTCCCATGTCTTAACCGGATATTCATCCTCGTTTGGAACATTTCGTGAGTAGTGGAGCGAGGCCCTTCAAGAGAGAGAGAGAGAGAGAGAGAGAGAGAGAGAGAGAGAGAGAGAGAGAGATTGTCTGTCCCCTACCTGACCAAACGTTTTCTGACTGTATCAACGCGGATGGCGGTGATTGATCACCGAACGACCTGATGAGATCTTTTACATCAAGCAAAGAGATTTCGTGCAGACGTGGATCAGACGAACCTTTCACTGTTAACCGAAGTTCTGCTATCGACGAACGATTGTCAAGGATGCGAAATACGGCTTATGCACAGTAGCAGCCATCGAATAGAGAAAGAAAGCAATAACTGTATTTACCATGCGGCACTGCGTAGCGAATATACGTAAGCAGATGGTTGTGCATTTTACTGACAAAAACAGGAGCAGTTCATTCTTCATTTTCGAATGTTGTTTATTCAGAGCATTTCAGAGTGCAAAACAAATCCAACTACGCTTCATCTGAGAAAAGCGAAGAAAACGCGAAGGAGCGGTTTTCTTCCCGAAATCGAAGCCGCTCTTGCAGGCGTTTCTTAAAGAGTACGCGCGTGCTTGGTAGCAAGGCAAGAAAAACTGAGTCGACCGAACCGTTTGACTTTACCATAATTCGCATGTCGGGGTTTCGAATCAAGGTGAACAACTCCTCTATTCTCGATAGATTCACGTCCCTCTCGCGCTCCAAAGAGATGCACTTAAGGAAGCCCACGACAACAGTGAGCTAGCTAC